CCTCGTCGACCCGCCGCTGGGCCTCGCGATCGGCGCGAGCCGCGCGCTCCTGGGCCTCCTCCAGTGCTTGCGTGAGCTCCCGTACTTGATCGCTCTCGCGGTGGCGCTCTTGCGCTCCTTCTGCTTCTGCTGCTGCTGCTGCTTGGCGAGGGCGCGCTCGAGCTTGGCCTCGAGGGTGGACACCTGCTCGCGGGCCTCGGCCAACTTGCGGCGGGCCGCTTTTACGTCGTCATCGCGCGCGCTCAGCTGGCCCTCGACCTCTCGCAGGCGTGCGGCAAGGGCCGCCGCCTCTTCCCGCCCCTGCTGCTGCTGCTGCTGCCGCCCTTCCCTGGCGAGAGGCGGCGCCCCGTTGCCCAGTGGCCCACTTCGGGGCGGTCGCGACGACGACGATCCGCCATTCTCTCCTGCCATCGACCACGTCAGCACGCCTTCAATACCATCGTGATTGCACCCCCCCCACAATTCCTTCCACCAACCACGTCTATCGGAGATGTAAACATATATATATCTCTCTATATATAGAATGGAATAGATGGGGCGGGTGGGCGGGCGGGCGGGGGGTTTGTACCGCGGTCCATGCTGAGGGAGATGCGGCGGCTGCCAGATCCGTTGTAGGGGGCGGCCCCTTCCTTGGTCGGACCCTTGCCTGCAGTGCATTAATGACGATATCCGGCGAAATGGGACGACACGGGATCATGTGGCGGCGGTGGCGAGAAGCAGGGTTGCGTACTGAGGGCGTCGAACACTTCGTCGAAGGTGCGCACGCGCGAGAGGACGGGGGCCACCTCGAACGACTTCTTGAGGGGCGACGCGTGGAGGGCGTCCGCGCACTCGTGGCACACCGTACGACGCACCGCCTCCGGGTGATCGTGCTGCTGCTGCTGCTGCTGCTGCTGCTGCACGCGCTCCCACTCGCGGTCCAGGAACGGAATCGGCGGCGCCTCTCCCGTGTCCGTGCACCGCCCACACACGCTGCGTCCGCATAGCCGACAGTGCATCTGTTGTGCGCGCGCACACGACACACACGACACACACGACACACACGACACACACGACACACACGACACACACGACACACACGACACACACATCGCCATGCAAATGTGCATGGCGAAATCGGTCAGCAGCGAGCAGCTGCCAGAGGCGAGGCTAGGGGAGCGGTTGTGAGGAGTGCGTACCTTTGGGCTGGTGCGTGGCAGGTCTGAGCGGCAGAGTGAACACCTGGTTTGGCGGAGAGTCAGTCGCTCTTTCCGTTGCATGCATACATCGGCGAACGGCGCCACAAGGATTCGAACGCAGGCCCGTCATCGTCGTCGTCGTCGTCGTCATCATCATCATCGCGCATATGAAAGGCCACGCATTGCTGTCCCAAGAGTTAGAGCTGGGGGGGGGGGAAGTGCCGGTGCGTACATGGTGGATCGCTGGTAGTGGGCTTCGTGGTCGAAGCGTAGCGGCAGCTTTTGTTCTCGCGCCACCCGCTCGTAGGCCCGCAGGTAACTCAACACGGCCTCGCCGCCGCCCGCGCTCACATCTCTGCCGCCACCGCCGCGGGGTAAATAACGGGAGGCCATCCCGGGCTGCCGGGAAGAAGCGGGCGAGCAAGCAAGAAGTGAAGCAGGGCCGGGTACCGAGGGATGGGGTAGCGCTTGGCGGTGGGCACGCGGAGCACCTGGAGCGACGGGAAGAAGGAGAGGTCCGGCAACTCGGCCAGGCCCTCGTTGCCCTCGAGCGTGAGCTCCCGCAGGTTGCGCATGTTGCACACCTCCGCGCACAACGACCTGACCACACACGACACACCACGACACAACACACGACACACACACGACACACCACACCGCGCGTGAGCCAACTATTGGAGCCGCGGGATGTGGTGATCGATGGGCGAAAGAGAGGGGGTCATCATGTTGCGGGACGCCTCCCGTCTCCCACATTGCCATGGGGCATGCATGGAAACGGAAGGAGTACGATGGGAAGGGAGGGAGGGAGGATGATGCGTACTCGAGCCTGTTGCCATCGAGATTGAGGACCTCCAAGTTGCGGAGGTAGATCAGTTCTGTGCACGCCAAGATCACACACGCGACACGCGACACGCGACACACGACACACACAACACGACACACACACGACACACACTCCGAAGAGAGGGAATTGGGTCATCATGGTGTAGCTATAGCTATTTGGCATATCGGCTGACCAAGAGGAAGAAAGCGAGGAGGGCGGCACCTCGAGGGAGCGAGCTCAAGAGGTTGCTCCGAAGAGAGAGCCGGCGTAGGCGGTGGCCTAGAGAGAGGCCGCTGGCGCCGTTGTGGTGTCCCGTCTCGAGCTCCAGGTGCCGGAGCAGGCTGCCGGGCAGTCGCTGCAGCCCCAGACCGTTGAGCTCCAGCTCTTGACCCTCCTGCTGCTCCTGCTGCTGCTGCTGCTGCCCCTCTGTTTGACCAACAGAGACACGCCGCCGCCGCCGCCGCCGCCGCCGCCGCCGCAGAGAGAGGGAGTGGTGGGTGGCGGGTTTGGGGCTGAGGGGCGGGGGTGTGCATCTCCCCTCCCTCCCTCCCTCCCTCCCTCCCTCCCTCCCTCCCTCCCTGGAGGAGAGAGGCTAATCTCCTGATCTCCTGGTCTCCTCCTCCTCCTCCTCTTTCACGTGTGGTCTTCACACACACACACCCCTCCGACCATATCGTGGTTTGGGGGGGCAGGGCAGGGGTTAACTTTACCTTTGTGGGAACGCTGCAGGCGGCGGAGGAGGCCCACCACGGCCTCGTCGGCCTTACGTTCAGCTTCGCCGCGAGCTGCCGGTGGCGGCCTCTTACCACCACCACCACCACCACCCGCGTGGTGCTGCTGCTGCTGCTGCATTTGTGGGGGTTGGTGCTGGTGCAGCCGCGTACTCCTCCTCTCCCGGGTTTGTTGCTCTGTGCCACAGAGAAGCCACCAAAAGTGAATTTTCTTCGTTATTAATATTATTAATATTATTTATTCGTTTTGCTTTTCTCGATGGGAAGGATGAAAGCTGGCGTGGGTCTCCAAGACCTGGTGCCGATGCTCTCAAGGCCCGGGTGCCGCCCACACCGGCTCTTGCCGTGCTCGTACCACAGTTGGCTGTTTTTTCCTCTTCCCCCCCCCACTTCTTTAGCTATGCGCGTGCACGGACCAACCAGACCAGTCTGCCCGCCACCACCGCGGAGGCTGGCGATGCAGTGTCACTCCCCTCCTGGAGTTTGCTCTCTATTTTGGTAGGTTTCCTTCCTTTGGTGGCTGTTGCTTTTTAGGACCCTCTCGAGAACAAGACAGTACTTACCCCCCCCCCCAACCTGGCCACACAACAACAACAACGACGACAACGACAACAGTCGGAGCGCACCCAGGTGGGGAGTGAGTGCGCCCCCCCCCCTCCACACCAGCGCCCGTCATCGTCGTCGGTCGTAGGCAACGATGGCCAGCGTGCCCAAGAAAGAGCCGCCGCAGTCCAGCGGCGGGAAAAGGTCCAAGAAATCGTCCACACAAGGCTCCCACAAAGGCACGCCTACGCGCCCCCCGCCCCAATGGGGGGGGGGCAACACGCGTCCTCCTTCCCTCCCCCCCTCGCTGACGCCACATCATCGCCTAATGTTGTGCCCCCCCCCCGCCCCCAGCAGCAGCAGGAGGAGGTCCGGGGCGCCCATTGCCCATCCCTCCCTCCACTCAGCGGCGGGCTACCAGTGCAGAAGGACCTGGCTCGCCCCGACACTCGGTTCGCCCCCCCCCACCACCATCGCCCCCCAGAGAAGGGGCGCGGTCGTTCCTCGTAGTGGTAGTAGTAGCCTTTTCTCCTTTTCTCTCCTTAGCTGGTGTGGTGTGTGGTTCCGGTTCCTTCTCCTCGTCATCGTCCTCGTTTATGCTCACCGTGTGGTGGTGGTGGTGGTGGTGGATGGTGGTGGTGGTGGTGGTGGTGGTGGTGGTGGTGGTGGGGTAGACGCAGGATTCCCTGCGGCGGCCTTCTACGCTGTCGGTCTCTGCGCCCACCAGTGGTGGCTCTTCGTCCGTGGAGCCGGCCTCGGAGATGACGCGGGGCAGCAAGCCGGCCCGGGAGAGAAGCGCCACGGCTTCGGCCACCAGCACGCGCCCGGCGCCTCTCCGCCTGGTCCCTCCGCTGGCGACCGGCCACGGCGCATACGCCGCCGCCACCGCTTCTGCTGGAGCCGGTGGTGCTGGTGCTGGTGCTGGTGATGATAGCCAGGGCGATGGCACCCGGCCGCACGGGAAAACGGCGCAAGGAGGAGGAGG